TGTCTTTCTTATCTTCTCACCTAGAAAGGAAGAAAGTGCCCTGCTTTTCAAATAGTCAAACAAAATGCCATTGTTAAGGCTGACAGGTCCTGAGCGGCCAGACTTGGGTCATCCCTTGCAATCCTTAAGCCAGTCACTAAGGCTTGAGGACAGAGATGGGTTTAGCCAAGGATATATGCTGTAGACTAAAGGACAGAACCAGCTCTCCTGGGGACAGGTGACGTGAAGGAGAGGAGGGGTGGATCTCCATGTGGAAACAGTTATTGTCATGTGAAGGTGGGGCACTTGCTGAGTTGTGTCTGGAAACAGCCTCCATGCACGCAGAGTGACCATCTGGCTACAGAGCATGTGTGGTGCGCACTGCTCAGCACCACTTCCCAGCTGGTTGCCACTGAGAAAAGGTGGGCATCTTCCTTAGTCTGTTCATCAGGAGCCTGGATTGGGGTTAAAGAAAGTATTGCCATTTGTGAGCAAAACTCCTTCATAAAGAGGGCGGATCCTGATTCGTAGGAAGCTCTTTGGTTTCTGGGCACTTTGATGGGTATGGGGCATTCTAGAAAGAGCCAAATGGTTCTACCCTACAAGGGAAGCCTTTGGACTCTTGAAGGACCCAGCGGGAAAGGACAGCATGGATAGCCGGAAAATGCTCAGGGAAAGAGCAATCAGTGAGATTACATGGCCAGTGAAGGTAAGTGGCAACCACCCCGGGAGTGAAGTCAAGGGCATTCCAAGGGCAGGGAACTGCCCAGTGCTGTGTTTGAAGATGTGAGAGGCTGTGCTCCACAGAAAGCTGCTGAGTTTCCTGAAATGTCCACTAAAGGTCATGGATCCAACCAGGGCTTTGGGAGAAGGAATATTCTATTGCTTTTCTTCTGTTGTGTTTTAATTACCAGACACCTGGGCTAGATGTTTGTTGAGATATCTGGCATCCAGAGCATGTCCAGAGGTAGGTATGACCATGAGAACACATCCACCACTCAATCTGCAGATGTCTCAGGAGTGACGGATTTGGACACAACTGGATTATGTCCAGTGGAACCTTGGACTGGACATTGGACTGGACATCCACTGAGGCCAACAGGTCACGCTGGCTTTGGCAGGGGGCTCAGCTGGGAGTGTCAACCACAGCAACGGGTGGCAGGTATTTAAAATCTCACTATCCTGGTCCCCTACCTGGCTTCAGCAGATCCAGCTTCTGAAAGTGGGAATGTGGGATCTCAAAGTGCTGCCAAGCTCGAGACTAGTGTTACTCAGAGAACTTACCTGGTCTCAAGGGAGCTGCAGGCCCTGACTGATGTCAGTGACCACTGAGGAAATGTGACTCAGCCACACAAGCCTCCGGTGAAGTGATTTTGAAGTGGCCCAGTTGGAATCCCAATGCGAGGATGAGGAGGACATACGGATAATTAAAGGAAAATCTGCCTTTATTTTAACCTCCGTTTTGCTCGTGCCTTCTCAGTGTTAGGTGTGCACAGCAGAGCGCCGCAGAAAGGAGTGCAAGGTTGGACTTTTTTCTCCAATTGCCTCATCTCTCAAGCTTAGACCTGCAGGTTTGGGACGGAGTTGGCGACTTTCTCTCTCTGGAACCTTTTAATGAAGCTCATGGTCTAGTCCACGGTCACTTCTCCAACAATCATAAGCAGATGCATTCTGCATTGACAGTAACAGTGCGTCGAAAAATTCCAAACCTCTGAGAGTCTATACATGGTGAGCCACTAAGGCAGACACAAAAAACAAAAACGCAAGATCAGTAGGGTTACCAGCAGTGACTGGTTAAGGTTACAAAGATATACAGGAATAAGCTTCACAGGAAATATAAAAGATGCATGAAGTTATTTTACCCTACTGAAGGGCATAATAAAAGCATGGACACACTGCGAGGCATGCCGTATGCTAAAATGAAAGGCTCAAACGTGAAACGTTACTTTTTCCCCAAATTAAACTATCAGGGTCAAGGCCTTCCCAGGCCTGGTTCAAAACATAATACTTCTACTATTTGAACCTGAAAAAAAAAAGAATAAGTATGTTTAGAAAACAAAATTTGGGAGGGGAAGAAAGAATAAATAAAATGGTTCTTCCCTGAAATATATAAAAACAATATGAATATTTAAAATGGAGTGGTTGGAAAAAACATTAGAAAGAACCAACTAGATTTAGGACTGAGATCCAGAAACTGATCTGTGAAGCTTTGGGAATTTGCTGTGGGATCAAAATGGCTTTTTGAAGCAGGTTTTGGAAAGCTCACAGAAAAATAAATGGCTAAGAATATAATTTGAAAAATGAAGTTAGACTCGTAAAATACCAGGTAACAATAAATTCTAGCAAATTTTGACTGTAATACATATTCATGTAAAAAACTTTAATGGTACCACCACATGGTATGTACTGAGTGTCTTACAGATATTAACACTTTGTTACCCTGGGTAGAGAGCAGTGGTGTCACAGCTCACAGCAACCTCAAACTCCTGGGCTCAAGCAGTCCTCTTGCCTCAGCCTCCTGAGTAGCTGGGACTACAGACATGAGCCACTATGCCTGGCTGGTAATACACTTAATTCTTATAACTCCCACGAGGAAGAAACTATGATTGGCCCCACTTTACACAAGAGACAGGGAGTTTGCCCACGTCGCCTATTGGGTGGAATTCATGTTCAGGCGGCCAGACTCCATGGCCCTGGGCTTCACTCCTTCAATATATACATGCAAACACGTGCACACATGCTCACACGCAGGCATGCCCCAGACACGAGCTCAGCACAAGTTGCCTACACTTAGTGGGGTGGCAAACAAATGTTGTTATCTTGCTCATGATTTCATGAGCCAGGAATCCAGGAAGGCACAGCTAGGCTGTTCTCACTTCACGTCTCAGTGTGGTTGCAGGGGTGACAGGGTCCTGCAGGCACCTCAGAGCTCACATTGGACTGGACGTCCGGTGAGGCCAACAGGTCATGCTGGCTTTGGCAGGGGGCTCGCTGGGAGTGTCAACCAGGGGACCCCTGGGCAGCCCCTCTCCCCTTCCCCAGCCTGATGGCCTTAGGGAAGTTGGATCTGACATAGAGCCTGGGAGTAGCTCTGGGGCATTTTCTGACCTGGTCTTGGAGGTCACCATCTGTCTTCCTCTGCAGTGTTCAGTGGATACCATCACATGCCCACCCAGAGCCAAGAGGCAGGGACAGACTCCCACATGTAAATGCATGAAGAGCCACAGCACGTCGGGGCCATGTTTTAAAACTGTCACCTAGTGTGATCAGATCTATGAAGAAATAGCTAAAATTGACCAGGTGTTTACTCAGAGCCAGGCCCTACCCTATGTTGATGATGTCATATAAAACATATCCATACTTAACATTTAAAATAAATAAACGTAAAAATAAAATCATGTAGATGGAAGCTGTGGGGCGGGGTGGGGGAGGGGGGCTGCTTCCCCAGGACATGCTCATCACAGTGACTCCACATGGTAAACTTGCCTCCCCTGGAGCCCAGGGTCAAGGCCTTCCCAGGCCTGCCAGGAGGCCACAGTGGCACTGACCTGCATCCCTGTGGACTGTGGGTCACTGGACAGAGTGAAAGGGACCAGGCACTCACAGAGAGGGTGGGGGAGCCATGTGCACAGCCCCCTCCTATGGCCAACTTCCCCAAGGAAGAGAGGATGTCGGAAGAGGTCTGACAGAGGTGTCAGAAAGAGGTCTACAAGAAACCCGCTGACAGTAGGGTCTGAGTGGCAGCTCCTTGTGGCAAACTGAGATCTTTCATTTAGGTAAAAGCCGTAACTACATCTCTGCTGGGAGGTACCCAACCACCACTTCTGGACACCTGCTATTCTGCTTGAGGCCCTCCCTCCCAATAGAAGCCTGAGTTACCAAGTCCATGCACCCCAGACAAGGTCATGCTGACTCAGTCTTCTCAACTTAGCCCTCAATTTTCCTCACCTCAGAGACATGTGTTAAAAGAACCAAGGCTCTGCCTGCAGTGTGGGTGGAGGGAAGCAGGTGCCCCTTTCCTGCCTGGCCTTCCCAGCTCTGGCTTTGCTGGTGCAGCATGCTGGGCTGGCCTGGGGGCTGTTTGGTTAATTCCTTTTTGTCATTTGCCTTCAGTGTTACAGTGGCTGCCAGAGAACTTGGTCCCTGCAGCTCTGAGCATGGAAGGTATTTGGAAACCTGCCCCAGTGGGACCAGCCCTGAGGACTGCACCCCTCTGCCCTGAAACAACCAATGGAGGGACACTGGGTGGGCCCTGTGTCCTAGGACTGTCCCCTGCTGCTCAGGGCTGGGAAGCATCTACTATCCCATGGAATGATCTGACCCCTAGGTAGTGTTCTTTATGCACTGAAACGTCCTTGGAACGAGAAGAGAACTCAAGGCATGTCATAGCTGTTACGTGTTTTAACTTCTGTATCCCTGACGTGAAGCCTGATGTAATCATGAATCCAAAGGAAGGGATAGTGGGTGTGAACCTAGCACTCGACCTCCCAGGATGGACCAGAGCAGGCTGCCTTGGCGGCAGGGTTTTTTCCATCTCTGGTTCTGGCTGGTGTTTTCCTCAGTTACACTTAGACGGGCAATTCTAGTCTTTCTTTCCATGTAGGGGCCTAAAGGTTTTTGTGAAAAGTGCATGTAAATCAGTATTTATTTAGTCTCTAGGGAATGGGATGGGAGAAGTCAGTGTGTGGATTCTCACCTACTCTGCAAACATGCACGGGATCCACTGCTCTGTCCGGGGCCCTATGGAGACAGCAGCCCAGCTTCCAGGGCCCACAGCCTGGACACCCTGCTCTATGGACTCCTCACCAAGAGCTGCCACAGCTGGTACCTGGGCTCCCAGCCCCTCGCAGCTCTGATACCCTATCCAAGACTCAGGTGCCCCCAAAGTGGCCACTCAGCCCCGAGCAGCGTGCTGTGGCCCAGTTTGCTCTTAGGTGCTGGTCTGCCGTCTACAACCAGCAGGACTTGGAGCTCCCCAGAAAGAGACTGCTGAAACCCTTCTCATGTGCACAGCCACCAACTCAAGAAGGAGCCATTGCTACTTTTTATTGAAGCAGGTGAGGGTGAGTGTGTGCACCATGGTCTGGCAAATTTGAGTCACATGTAGAGCCACGTGACTGCTCAGCATAGGCCCCGGGAAGCCTCCTCTTCCTGCCTCCCAGAGCTGGTGCACAGGGAGACCTGTGTGGGGGTTGGGGGTGGGTGGGGCGGGGCTCCATCCCAGGGCAGGACACCAGCAGGAGATACAGGACGTGGGGAAGAAGTGATGTGATCGGTGCAGCCAGACCCCTAGGCGTTCTCACAACTGTACTTTGTCATGGTCATTTTGCCCTGCCAGGGAATGCTGTAGATCTGGAAAGAGCAGAGCATTTTCTGTGAAAGGAAAGAGAATAATTAATAAGGTTACAGCTAAGAGGGAAGATGCCTAACCACAGGGTGTCAGGGTGGGGTGAGGGAGCTTGGGGCAAGATACTCAGCCCCCACCCACCCCCAAGGAGTCCCAAGATACCCAGCCTGCCTGTGCAGTGACTGCACAGGCCTACAGGGCTCCAAGGGCACTGTGTCCCCTACCTGGTCCAAGGATCCCACCTCCTGCTCTAGCCCAGCTCTGTAAGGAGCAGCCTGTGCAAGGCCAAGGGGGCCAGAGGTAGGCGGCTCCTGCCCCCAAGCTCCCTCTATTTCTAGCTCCTGGGCCAGCACGGAGAGGGCCCAGAGGGAAGGCCCCAGTGGAGAGGAAACTCCCCTGAAGGATCTGGGGCCTGGGGAGGGGTAACAAGGGGACGGTGGCTCTCCCCAGAGCAGAGACCTCACAAAAATCAGCCAGGCCCTTGGAGAGGCTGGAGGTAGGTGAGCAGGGGCAGCTCAGAGGGTTTGGGCTGCGTACAGGCCTCTAATTCTCTCCAATCTGCTCAGAGCAGCTGTGGCCATTGGTAGGTGGCCAAGGCTGGCACTGGACAGAGGCCTTCTCCTTCCCCAGTGCAGCAGGCAACAGCCCATAACACCTTCTGTGAGCAGGGTTGTGCTCTTAACACCCCAACTCCCCAGCTACAGCCCCTTAGCCATTCAAATCAGTCGTGTTCTCATACCCACCCCACACCCTCCATGTACACACAGGTGCGTGTCTGTGTAAACTCACCTGTACCCTCACTCACAGGTGTCTATGCATATCTCCCCCATGGCCACACACCCCAGGATGTGCACAAGGACATGCATGCAGTTCCCACACTCCCTGTGCATGCAAAACTCATACACACATGCCCCTCCACACCTGCACGCCCCCACCTGAACACAGGCTCACAGGAATGCACACCTCCCCTCTACAGTGCGTCACTGCCCCTGACCCACACCAGGCACATACCCTCTGCAGATGTGGCTGCTCATGGAAGGGACAGTCGCCCAACTTGGGCTGGGACTTGGTACACGTGGTCCGGCCAATCTCTACTTCCAGCGCGTAGTTCATCCCAGCCACGACCTACACGTGTGCAAGAGCAGGTTCACCTGTAGCACTGCCCACCAGTGTCACATACAGGCGGTTCACTGATGCTGAGTTACGGCGTGTTCCTGAGCTGTCCCACTGTCACTCCCCCTCTCCTGGACATCAGGGGACTGTGGCCCAAGTAATCCCTTGTAACTGGCTTTCTCTGACCAATGCCCCCAAAGGTGTCACATGCACCCAAGTAGGAGAAGAAAATAAAGATGGAAACTAGAAACTAACCCCTCTCACTGCATCCAGGAATGGCAGGCACAGCTGAGGGCAGCCAGCCTGCTGCTGGGGGGGTGGGGTGGCATGGCAAATAAACACAGTCCCTGCACCAGAAGCACAGGGCAAGGTCTACAGGGGAAGGCTGCGTGTCTGAGCAGGATCCAGCACCTCCTGCCAACTGTGGCCCAGGGCAGGGAGTGCTGGTCATTCTAGGACACAGATTTAGCTTCTCCCAGCCGCTAGTGCACAGCCCAACAGAATCCTGTTTCTTCTATTTCCCTCAGATTTGTTTCCTGATTTAACAGGAGAAAATGAGATGCCTCACACATGGAGGTTTTAAGCCAGTAATAGACCGCTCATGGATGCTTCTGTTTAAGTGTGCTTTCGGTGCTGATACTTCTCAAGTGTGTTACACACCTGCGTGGCTTACATTTGGATACAGAAGTGTCCCCTGTCCCTGCACAAGGCATCCCTCAGACATGCTGTGTCAGGACTGTGGAGAAGCATGAGATGAGGGACCCTGTGACCAGGGTTCTAGACCTTGCCCCACAGAAGAACAAGTCCCATGATTCCTCTTGTCCTTCCCCTCTGTAAAGTAGGCTCACAGAACCAATGATCTACAGCACCTGGTCATGGCAAGTCAGACCCTCCCTCCAGTGGTACAGGTGGACCCACCTTGCCCTGTCCAAGGGAGAGGGCAGCAGCTGAGGGCTGCAGAAGGAGAGACAGGCTGACCTGAATGTTTCAGATATTCAGGAGCAGGAGGAAGAGCTCTACACCCTGGCTTACCACGCCACACGGTGCTACTGTGTCACTGCTGGCTGCTGTGCAGTGGTGCAGGGCAAGCTTGAGTCCAGCTGCCCTAAGACCCCTCCCGTCCTCCTCTGCCAGTCTCACTGCACCAGGCTGGAGCTGGCAGGGGTGGGGCTCAGGTGACAGCCTCTGTACCCGAGCAGGTACTGACATGCCAGTGGCTGTGGGTGGTGGAAGGAAGGTCAGGGTCAATGGTGCTTGGCCTAGGGGCTGCTCACAGAGCCCAGACTTTTGGAGAGAAACCTGACCCTTCAGGACTAGGAGCCCAGGTTCCCCAAGTGGCACCTGTTGAGGGCACTCAGAGAGGAGGACCTGTGTCCTCTGTGTGCACATTATGACCCAGTCCAACCGTGAGGGGATAACAGTCTCTTTACCACAAGGGGCTGGACACTAGGGCAGGAAACACATTGGCTGCTGCCACATGAGGGTTGCTGCAGCTTAGAGGCCAAGGAGATGGGACCATGCTACCATGCATGGTCTGCTAGTGTCCTCAAGTATAAAGGCCATCAGTGGGGCAGCCAGCAAAACCTGAGTACGTCTGCGCAGGAGAGAACGGAATATATCAGTGTTGAATACTGATTTTCAAGACTGAATCGTGATCATGTGAGCTAGTGTCCTTGTTTTTAGGATCTATAAGTTGATCACCCATGGGACTGTATATAACAAACCGGTCAATATAAGGAAGTACCCGACGGTCAAGCACTTCATATACAATGAAGTACTTTTTCTCGAGAAGTTCAGAAAAATAACTGCATACACACTCCGCCTACACAGGCATATCAGAGGAAGGTGGGTTAAGTCAGTATGGCAGAATGACTCCGTGAGGGAGCTGCGTGATAGGTCTCCAGCCAGGCTTTGTACTAGTTTCGCAACCAGCTCTGTAAGTCTGAAGTTACATCAGAATAAAAAGTTAAAAGAAAAAATAGTGTTTGAAAAATCATTTAACGGCAGAGCCTGGAGGGCAGCCGGGTGAGGGGTTCTGTTTTCCTGCCCCACGTGGGCATTCACAGTTAGCAGCCTTGCACAGGCTAGGAAGCTACGAGGGACACAGCCTAACCCTGATCCTGGTGTCTGCAAGCAGATCTGGGTTGCCAGGCGCAGATCCGGACTGCAAGGCCGGTTCCTAGCCAGACAAGAGTCAGGGCATCCCGGTGACAGGCACGCCAAAGGCGGCAGGACTCAAGAGACCTGGGAAACTCTCCGGGTGACGCGCTCGGGCGCGGCCGCGAGGGGCGCCAGGGCGGGGGATGGGGGGCTGGCTGGCACCAGCGGGACGGAGCGCGCGCGGGGTGGCCCCTCAGACTCCGGGGCCCAGGGCCAAGGCCACACGCACCTGCTTGCGGGCGTTCTTCACCTGCAGCGCGCGGCTTTGGTACCTGTCGTTGCTCGCCTTGTTGTACTCGCTTATGGCGAAGTCCAGCGCGCGCTGCACGCCCTCCTCGTTGACTTGGGCGTCCATCCAGCCGCCTACCAAGCGGGCCGCGGAGCTCACGGCTAGGGCCACTGCCAGCGCGGCCAGCAGGAGCAGCGCGGCTCGCGGCAAACCAGCCATGGTCAGTCTAGACGCAGAGCGTGAGGCCAGAGCTGCGGAGAAAAGACCGACACGATCCAAAAGCCAGGAGCCTCACCGCCCATGCCAGGCGCGCCCTATTTATTTCACACGGCCGCCCCGCCCCTTCCGGACCCCTCCCCCCCCTCCTCCCCATGCCCGGCCCCGCCCCCGTGGGCCCTGTGGCCTCCGCACTCCGGACCCTCCCGCTGCGGCTCCTCTCCCTTCCCCCTCCTGCTCCCTCCCAGCCTGCGCAGGCTTCCCTCTGGTTCTTCCCCCCTGCCCTCCGCCCCCTCCTCCGCCGCCCCCTCCTGTCCTCTCCAGCACCTCTTCTTTCTCGCACCCCCCGGCTCCCTACAGCCCAGTCTGTCTCCCCAGGCCTGTCACTCCTTCCAAGCTTGGGTTCCCATGGTATGGGGAGGAGTTGGAGGCTCTCTGGGCTTTGAAAATATGTGACCAACAAACTTTGTTTTTTTAGAAAAGAAGAATAAAAAAGTCTTGGCCTGTGGAGGTCTTGGGAGGTCTGGAGCATCCCTGCGCCCTTGGTGCGCCGTGTGGGGATCCTCAAAGCTGGGCGTGATTTCAGAGGCCCGGGCAAAGTCTAGTCCACCTAGTCCACATTCCGTTCTCGGGAACTATTTTGGCAGACTAGGGGAGTTAACTTTCATTTGGGTGAAGATTGTCTTTTTTACAATAGCCAGCTTTCTGGAGCTGAGGGGAGGACCTCCCCTGGGGGTGTTGGTGAGGCGGTCGGGACAGAGGAACCAACCCGTGGGTGGGGGAGGGGCGCAGGAGGCTCCAGTGGCCAGAGGGGCCAGACAACTGGTGGGTGGGACACCTCCAGGTCGCCAGCTCAGGGAGGCCCTAGGGCGTCCTCAAACTACAGCCCCTGGGCCATGTGGCCGGCGAGGACATTTATCCGGCCTGCTTTTTGCCGTTGCTGCCTGTCCTGCTTAGCAGCCACTGGACCCAGCCGGCAGTCCCTCCAACGGTCTGAGGGACAGTGAACTGGCCCCTTGTTTAAAAAGTTTGAGGACCCCTGCATGTCTTCTGCCCTGGCCTCTGTCTCCCTCCCCTTGCACTTCAGGCTAAACTGGGACCACCCCACCACCCCCTCACCCCCAATTTCCCAGGCCAGGTCAATTTCGTGTAAGTTTCCTAGGCCTGGGAACAGGAAGGGATTGTGCCTTCCTTTGTTAGGCTATATATACCCCTAGACAAAAGACCCCTGACCTGAGTTTTTCCCTCTGCCAGAAGTTCTGGTACTTTCTCTGTATTCTTTTCTGTAAAATAAATCCTGTCTTACCACAGATCTGTGGTCTGTGGATTCATTCTTGGAAACCCCAAGACCAAGGACCTACTGAAGAAGCAATTCCAGTATCACTTTCATCATCACTGGTGATCAATCCAGGCAGTCAAGAGCCTACAGATGGAGTTCAGGGTCAGTCAGTCATGAATGGGACATTGCAGAGCTCCTGACCAATAGAGAATTGATGTGCCCAAATGCAAGTTTTAATTCTTCAGTAGCCATATTAAAAAAAGGAAAAAGAAACTGATGAAAGTCATTTTGATCATGTTTTTATTTCACCTAATACATCCAAAATATTTCAACATGGGAGCAATTATTAATGAGATAATTTACATTATTTTGGGTGCTGCACAATATATTTGGAATTGTGTGTGTATTTTTTATACTTAGAGCAGTGTCAGTTTGGAGTGGCTCAATTTCAAGCACCCAGAGCCACGTGTCGCTGATGGCTGTGGTTTTGCACAGCCCAGCTTTGAGGTAGGTAGGGGAGTGATGGGGGAGTAATTAATTAAGATCAGGGAGTTATAAATGATCTGTTGGAAGTGACATAGGAGGGACAGAGAGAGACAGTGCCACTGGACACTGATCAGGGAGGTCTCTATGAGACTGAGAAGACCAGAGTCCCAACTAGACCAGGCAGACAGGGCTCCAGGCAGAGAGCACAGCCATTGCCAAGGCCCTGAAGAGCGGCTGGACATGCTGCTTCTGGGAGGGATGGGGCTGGATGTGCTGCTTCTAGGGGGGCTGGGGCATATCCTGGAACCTCACAGTCCACTGTGGGTGGGGACGGGAAGGGTACAGGGAGACCCCCAGCAGGCAGAGGAGGGGCAGTGAGTGGAGCCCACAGCCCAAGGATGAGACACAGGCTGGTCTTGCTTCTCTCCTCTGGGAGCCAGGCTGCCGGCTTGGGTCATCTGTGTACTGCTTGGGAAAATCATGGAGCTTTAAAAAAACAAATCACCTTTAATGAGGTATAATTCATATACAACAAAACGTCTCATTTTATGTGCCCAGAGGAGGTGTAGGAAATGCACACACCAGTGTTAGCACCACACTCAAGATCTAGAGCGTGTGTACTGCCCCTGCAGGGGACCCTCATGCCCACTCCCACCCCGCTGAGCCCAGACAAACCTCCCAACCAGACTCACCTTTTGCCTGTTCCTGCACTTCCGTGAGTTGTGGGAAGGCGTTGTGAGCGCAGGTGTGTCTGTTTGCTCAGCGTGGCTTTGAGCTTCGGTCCGGTGTTTTCATTAACATGATTATTGGTTCTTTCTGCTACACTGAGAAGACCTGGTCACCTAGGTACCCTGTGGGCTAACAAGGCCCCCAGCTCAGGATGGTGGGGCTTTGGGTTTCAAAATAGCCCTGGGAATGGAGAGGGTGAGGGGTGTTCTGAGCAGAGAACAGGCTCCCTCTGTTCCTTCAATCTGCCCTCCATTCCTGAAGATGACCCTGTGGCAGTGACCTTGTGGTGAAGATGGCAGGCTAGGCAGAAACTGTGGCCTCTTGAAGGGCAGCCAGAAGGTCCTCCTTGGGAGTGGTGATAGCGCTGGCCAGGTAGTGGAAGCACAGCCCTGTTGTGACTAAAGTAGGGGACAAATAGTAGATAACTTGGAATAATTCACAGGCTTTTTCTTGGACCGTGTGTAAACCTTTTAGGATACATATTAGACTTGGTTTAAAACAAGAGCAGAGGGATGACGCCTGTGGCTCAGTGGGTAGGGCACCAGCCCCATATACAGAGGGTGGGTGGGTTCAAACTTGGCCCCAGCCAAATTGCAACAAAAAAATAGCCAGGCATTGTGGTGGGCGCCTGTAGACCCAGCTACTTGGGAGGCTGAGGCAAGAGAATTACCTAAGCCTAGGAGTTGGAGGTTGCTCTGAGCTGTGTGATGCCACAGCACTCTACCAAGGGTGATGGAGTGAGACTGTGTCTCAAAAAAAAAAAAAAAAAAGAAAGAAAGAAAAAGAAAATGTTCACACCACCAGTCACCTTACCTTTCAGGGTCCCATTCAGGATCCTGAACGGGAACTGCCTGTCTTCCCATGGGGTATCTGCCCCTTTTCCCAGGAAACATACTGCCATCAGTATTGGACATGTACCATAAATCACCCCACTTCCTAGCTCCATCCAGGACTTCATTCTTTTCATTAAACGTTAAAGTCTGATCTAGTAGTATCATTATATCTCTCCAAGAGAGGTCAAGGCTTGTCCTAACCCTTGGAGAACATCTATGTACTTATTGGGGTCATCAGAAAATTTTCCTAAATCAACTTTAATTTGCTTTAAATCTGTCAGTGAAAATGGAGTATATACTCCCACACTTCTCCTTTCAACACTCCCGGTCTCAACCAAGAGGATATGGTTGTCTTCTGGGGGTCGCAGGAGGACCACAAAAAACTCTTGGGACAGCCTCCCTCCTGGGGTTTTCTGAACACATGGAGGAGGGTGTGGGAGAAGTAGATGGTGGGCTTGATCTAGGTGGTAATGGTGTCTCCCTCAAGAAGACAGGTGGGCTTGATCTAGGTGGTAATGGTGTCTCCCTCAAGAAGAC